AGGAGCAAGGACGCTACTAGGGGCTCCTGGCCTTACTACTAGGAACAAGAACGCTACTAGGGGCTCCTGGCATCGCTACTAGGAGCAAGGACGCTACTAGGGGCTCCTTGGCATCGCTACTGGGACCAGGGGCTCCTGGCATCGCTACTAGGAGCAAGGACGCTACAGGGGCTCCTGGCATCGCTACTAGGAGCAAGGACGCTACTAGGGGCTCCTGGCCTTACTACTAGGAACAAGAACGCTACTAGGGGCTCCTAGCATCGCTACTAGGAGCAAGGACGCTACTAGGGGCTCCTGGCATCGCTACTAGGAGCAAGGACGCTACTAGGGGCTCCTGGGGCTCCTGGCATCGCTACTAGGAGCAAGGACGCTACTAGGGGCTCCTGGCCTTACTACTAGGAACAAGAACGCTACTAGGGGCTCCTAGCATCGCTACTAGGAGCAAGAACGCTACTAGGGGCTCCTGGCATCGCTACTAGGAGCAAGGACGCTACTAGGGGCTCCTGGCCTTACTACTAGGAACAAGAATGCTATTAGGGGCTCCTGGCATCCCTACTAACTAGGAGCAAGGACGCTACTAGGGGCTCCTGGCCTTACTACTAGGAACAAGAACGCTACTAGGGGTTGCTGGCATCGCTACCAGGAGCAAGGACGCTACTAGGGGCTCCTGGCCTTACTACTAGGAACAAGAACGCTACTAGGGGCACCTGGCATCGCTACTAGGAGCAAGGACGCTACTAGGGGCACCTGGCCTTACTACGACGCTACTAGGGGCTCCTGGCATCGCTACTAGGAGCAAACACGCTACTAGGGGCTCCTGGCCTTACTACTAGGAACAAGAACGCTACTAGGGGCGCCTGGCATCGCTACTAGGAGCAAGGACGCTACTAGGGGCTCCTGGCATCGCTACTAGGAGCAAAGGACGCTACAGGGGCTCCTGGCCTTACTACTAGGAGCAAGGACGCTACTAGGGGCTCCTGGCCTTACTACTAGGAACAAGAACGCTACTAGGGGCTCCTGGCATCGCTACTAGGAGCAAGGACGCTACTAGGGGCTCCTGGCCTTACTAGTAGGAACAAGAATGCTACTAGGGGCTCCTGGCATCGCTACTAGGAGCAAGAACGCTGGGGCTCCTGGCATCGCTACTAGGAGCAAGGACGCTATTAGGGGGGGCTGGCCTTACCACCAGGAACGAGGACACTGCTGGGGGCTCCTGGCATCGCTACTAGGAGCAAGGACGCTACTAGGGGCTCCTGGCCTTACTACTAGGAACAAGAACGCTACTAGGGGCTCCTGGCATCGCTACTAGGAGCAAGGACGCTGCTAGGGGCTCCTAGCCTTACTACTAGGAACAGGGTGCACAGAAGCGACCCAACACTCTTAGGGCTCAAGGGCTCGGCCCCTTAGGGCAGTTGGCTGCATCGTGGGGGTCTGTCAGTAGGGATAGCATGTTGTTTTTTGTGTCCTGATTCTTATTGTTTGTAGTAGTAAGGCACTTGTTTCTATTAGCTTCTTGTTACTACTAGTAAGGCACTTGTCACTAGAAGCAATGCACTTGATGTCTGACAAAGGAAACACACATCAAGTGATGGATTGTGCTTGCCCATGCTTTCCCTGTTCCCAAGACTTGCCGTGGTACTTCTTCGTGATCGACTTCCCCAAAACTTGAGGTGCTCACCAAGAAGTTTCAGCAGCGAATCCAAAAAGTTGGTGCCTGAGACTGATCAATGTGAGGTGCAATTTCTTGTCTTTGTCTTCATGCTTTCTCCATCTCATCGAACCAAAGCATGAAACAAATATACTGTCATGTACTGTCATATACTCTATATGATCTTCTGAAGAGAAGCACCTTGCATTGAATGTAAGTAATGTGTGTTGTCAGCAAGAGGGAACGAAAAGTTCGCTGTCTGAGAGGCACGTGGATTCTTCCAGACGGCGAATGGCATCATTTGGCCAAGCTGACGCTTTGATCGTCGGCTTTCAGCAATGCTATTTTGAGCTGCTTTCAGTACGCTTCATGCGCTCTCATCAAGAAAGATAGATGGGGTGCTTCCCCTAACTGGGCCTGAGTTCTTGATGTGCTTCATACATTGAAAGCTACTAGTAACAAAGGGCATCGCTACTAGGAGCAAGGACGCTACTAGTAGCTCCTGGCATTACTACTAGTAACTGGAAAAACAAATCCATTCCACCTACATGTAACCGAAGACCCTTTTACAGCCCGGTTCAAAAAGGCTCGCATGGTAGCGGAGCCGTGACGGCCATTGCTGCGTGCTCTGGCCTGAGCTCCTGAGCCTTTGGGAGGCCAGAAACCGGAGCCTCATCGCGCCCCCGTCTCGAGCGCTCGACCCTTGCCTAGCCACCCATACTAGTGTTGCAAGAGCTCGCAATCGGTGCCTGAGCCTACTTGGACACCGAGCGTGAAGAACACCATCGACTACAAGTTTGCCCTTTTGCTGGACTTCAAAGAGGTTGAAGAGGGCATGGAGGAGCTCCTACCTGTTCGAACCCAAGGAGGTTGAACTGATCCTGCAAGGTGAGTTCGAGGCATGGATGGATCAGGGGGAGTTGGCGTCGACCTCACCAGCTTCCCGGAGTTGACTCAAGCCCTGATTGCAACAGCTCAGGCGGCTACTCAGGCCGCACAGGCAGCTTCAGCAGCATCTTCGACAGGAGGACCGGCTGGAGGAGAAAGCTCAGAGGCCAGTAAGCGAGTGAGTTTCAATCGGAGTTGGAGAAGATTGAGAAGGATAATTTGACGGTGGAGACCGAATGGGACCTCATGGATTCCAAGGAGCAGCAACGAAGTCGGTTCCTATATATTCCTTGCTGGGATCCCTCATCCAAGGTCGGTTGATTGGACTGATCAAGAATGTGGACAACTTCAACGGGCATGAAGCCCTGCGGCAACGGGCGAGCACTCGCTTGTGCACTTGAAATTTACCTCGCTTGCGCACTTGAAATTTACCTCGCTTGTGCACTTGTACGATGACGATGACGAATGCTGCTACTACTACTACTACTACCACTGAGTTGCAACTCTTTCATGGCATGGACGATGTCAGTTGTATGCTCTGCGAAAACAATGGCTCGGCATGCTTGCACATGACTCTTGGTCACCAAAGAACTAGCATCCGCACGAAGCTGACCGTTCCTGGTGTCGTCTCGTGTCATCCAACAAAATTGCTATTCAAAAAATATCAAACACTATACTTTCAGGTCCCTGAATTCATCCGAAGATCCTCTGCAAGGTCTTCCGCATACAGTAGAAAGCCGTACCATCTTCACCCGTACACTTTTGGAAAGCTTTCTCTTGCACATAAACTTGAGCTGGTGTGCGGTCGAATTTGTCTAGCGGACCTAGAACCAACACGCTGTCCCACTTCATGCCTGGAACATCGTGCAGAAGTTCAGACTGTCCGGCCATGGCCTCCGCACGTGTTGAAAGGAATGTCCGAAGAGTAGACACAAAGCTCGGTACGGTATGCCTGGCTTTCTCCAACTGCCCTTGAGGCGATGTTGGTGCCAGCTTTCCTGGCTCTGCGACCCAGAATTGCTCCCTGGCTGAGTCCTGTCCGGCACTATCGTCCAAGGCAGCACGGTCCTGATCAGTGTAGTACTTCAACAACTGCTCTGCGCACTTCCCTTCGCCCGACTCCTGCAGGTAGTCCAACAAAGTGGACCAGACATAGTGGAAAAGTACACGAGGAAATGAGCGAGAAGCAAAAACAGCTGATGTGATCAGCTTGAGCTGCTCTTCTGCTTGCAACCACACGCGGCAGTTCTCAAAGATACCCCTGCGCCACTGGCTCATGAAATCTGCCTCCGGCCCCGGGCCTGCAGTGTCTGCTGTCTTTGCACGGCCAACGCGGTTGGCTCCAATCAGGTGACTGAAGTCTGTGCAGCGTAGACTGCTCCCAAACACCCGAGCGCGTGCACGCTCCAGACCCATGTGTGCATCTCCGCGCACTTGCCGCACATAGCCCGAGATGTCCTCAGACAAAGCAGTGATGTCTAATTGAACATTAAATCCGAATCCACGGATTGTGGCCAAATATACAGCTAGCCTGCCCATCACGCGCCACAAATTCAGTCAGATGTGCCGGTGCGTCTTACAGCTAGCAAGCGCCCCGGACACCAGTAATTGTCAGTTGTGCCGGTGCGTCTTACAGCTAGCAAGCGCCCCGGGCACAAGACATACAGTCAGATGAGGCAGCGTCAAAATTACTTATATAAGTTGTCTTCGTTTTGAATTAGTGAGTCCCCTATCGTTTTCCATGTCTATGCTTTCCCTAGGTGCATATGGGCTTCCCTCTCGTTCTTCATGCCTTGGCTCAATACCAGAACAAATCTAAGAGAAAGAATCACGCAGCTCACGACCTAGTTCATCCTGCAACAGCCTCAAGAGTAGAAGTGGATCATAATCACGTTCATCATCACAAGATCCAGTATCCCACAAGATTGCATAGCTTTGTTAGACACGGTCTGCCGCGTCCCCCTGCTTGTAACATCTAAAAGGAAAACAGCAAACGCTTCCACATGACTCCAGTGGTGGCGCACACACACCATGACATGTCTCCGGCTAGTGTGCGTAGTGGCTTGATGCCAGAGGCCTAGTTTTCCCTTGCTACATGTCAAGTAGAGTGGTAGTTGGGGCCTGCCACTCCTTCCTTCCTAGACCGCCTACCCAACACAAATACATACAAATACCTTGTGTACAGGTTGCACCGACCAAGGGGGACCTCCACTTGTCGGAAGGCCACGTGTGCGGTGTCTCAACAAGAGCATCTCTTGGGACTTGTTGGGTATCGTTTGGGTATCGTTTTTAACGCGCTTTCTGGGTTTGGTTTCACCGTGCTTCACCAACGATTGCAAGTGTCTTCGTAATGGTTCTCCTGCCCCTGCGCATTCTGTCCGATTCCAAGGGTTACACAAACAACACAGACACAAACACAGACACACAGACACATACACACATATCATGAAGAGTCCTGACATGGAACTGCAGGGGGTATCGTTTTTTTGTGATTCCCCTATCGTTTTTCAAGTAAACTTCACATTCCCTTAGCCACATGAAACGCTCCTTTTCAAAAGTTGTCTTCGTTAATATTGAGGTTGACTCAGATGCGCCGGTGCGTCTTACAGCTAGCAAGCGCCCCGACATCAGAAATTCAGTCAGATGCGCCGGTGCGTCTTACAGCTAGCACGCGCCCCAGACACCAGAAATTCACTCAGCTGTGCCGGTGCGTCAGATGCGCCGGTGCGTCTTACAGCTAGCAAGCGCCCCGGACACCAGAAATTCAGTCAGATGCGCCGGTGCGTCTTACTGCTAGCATGCGCCCCGGGCAAAAAAAATACAGTCAGATGTGCCGGGCACCGGCTTCTTCAGGTTCTGTTCAAGATCGGATAATGGTTAATTAGCTAATTCTTTTCTTCAAACCTTGATTTCTGGTTCTTTCCGTTTAAAGACATTTCACAGCGCCTCATCACTGAAAATAGCCAAGTCACAACTTCTCCAAAGGCTGCCACAGCCTTTACCAGAGATGAGAAAACGAGTGAATAGGTATCAGTGTTCTCCTTGTGAGCAATAGCCACGACCAGCTCATTGAACTGTGTGGTGAACCCTTCTTGCGGTTCACCTGCATGCGCTAACCTCCCAAAGCCCTTAGTCAACAGCCCGGCAGATACGATGACATAGTCTCCTTGCACCATTCTGTACGTTCCATCTGCACATATCTTCAGCCATTGCCAGTTTGTGACCTTTTTGGCCGTCTCCTGTACTAGCTTCGGGCACGTAAACACCATGCACATGTGCTCATCTAGTCGGTGGTCCACCAACACAAGGTCGTCCCCCGCAGAAGCAGACTCCAAGCCCGGAAGTTGGCGAGCCAAGCACTCAAAGTCCATCATCAACCACTCACCCTTGTGAGCAAGGCGAACGTCCTCACACTGCGACAATGTACTTACAGCGTCCGTTCTGTTCTGTTCTTTTTAAAAGCACAACAGCGGACGCCACATATTAGACCAAGCCCAGTCCTGGCCATGCCTATTCCTGAAATTGTCAATGAACTTCTTCAGTGTGCACTCAAGCTTGTCGGTGATCTCCAAGTCTGGAAAATCTGTATGCAAATGCTCAAGAAGCTGCTGCATGCGGTAAGAACCACCATTCTTCTCTAAGAAGTTCTTGATGTAGAGCTTGTGTCCGGATAACAGAGAAGCATCTCTGTTTCCATAGACCCGATCCCACGCATGCTTCTCAGGAGACGTCGCCTGCAGGCGCAAGACCTCAGATCATGGTCGCTTAAACTGCCACAAACGTATCTGTCTGTGAACACGTGGAAGGTCAGTTGTAAACACACCCTCAGCAAAGTATGCCTGCAGCAGCTCCATGAGAAATATACCTACACCAAAACATTCTCGGGGAAGATAGTGATCCCCAAATATATCAACAAGCAAAGCCCCAAGAAGAATGTATGAATAGCAAATGTATGATAGTAGTTAATATTTGGGGACCACTAAATCCGATCACCTTGGCTTCCCAGAAGCCTCAGAAGTCCAATCGTACGTGGCAATTCCTCTGAAGCCACACACGATACACGAGACGCACCGGAAAGTGTACCGGAACTGATGTTCCCTGTTTTCGTGTTTGGACACTGCGAATTCGCTCCTTCATTCGCTCTCTGTCCAGGTCAGATACATGTATAGAAGCACTGCACGTCCAACCGCCAGCTGCAGCAGGCTTTTTGCACGTCGGCTTCTTGCAACATGGACGCTTCATGGTCGCACATAGTTCAAAGTCGGACACTTTTCTTGGCATCATTTCTTTCTATAGCTGTAATTTCATTGATTCAAGCTTGTGTCTGGTTTAGTTTGGTGTGGATTGTCTCTTTGTGTGTTTCTTTAGTTGATTTGGTGCTTGTTTTCAATTCACTGATTCGACCTGTGACGCTTC